TAATTTTTTAAATTTATTTTTTGTGGTACCAGGGATTGAACTCAGGGCCTTGCGCTTGCCAGGCAAGTGCTTATCCTACTGGCCCCTGCGTCTGCCTAGATATTCTTGACTTCCTGGGTGACAGGGGTCTCCTGCCCCCATTACAGGCTGTGTCCAGCCTCACCACTTCTTGTTGAAGTCAGGGGGTCAAGATGGTTTGGGAGAGCCTAGGTTACTGCACTCGGTTCACAAAGGAGAAAGGGATCATCCAGAGACGTTCTGTGCAGCCCCACAAAAGGTGGGCGTTCACTCCTTGATTCACAGGCCAGGCACGGAGGTCCTTGCTCCGAGCCCTTCAGACCAGCAAGGTCAGTTTGGCCCCCTCCTGCTTCACTTGCCCTGTCGCTGTGGACGCCACCACCAGGGAGGTCCTGCCTGAGGCCCTGCAGGTGCGGAGCTCAGGTAGGGTCCCTCCACCTCCTGTGAACTCCACGGAGTAGCTGCCACCTCACCTGCTGTCCACATGACGACCCTGTTTTCCGTTTCCCTGCAGAGCTAGCGGAGCCCCCTTCCACCTCTCGGGGCCTAGATGCAGCTCTTCTGCCCACAGCCGGCACCTCTGAAGGTAACCCCCAAGCAGGGAAGGGTAGGGCTCCACTGGGCTGAGCCCACCTGGGCGGCCTGACCACCGCAGGACTTCAGGGAGGCTCTCTGCAGGCGTCCTGGACCTGGACCACAACTCTCAGCCAGCTTCAGGGGAGCCCGTGATGCCCACGGGAGGTTCTGGCCGCCCACCGCCTTCCAGACTCAGCCTGGGCCGCCATCGCAAACCCTGCAGCCAGGAAGCAGGCCAGGCCGGTGCGAGCCACAGTGAAGGCAGCGACCACGACTACCTGCCCCTGGTGAGGACTCGGGAGGTGGAGGGTGGCCCGGAGCCCCGTGCCGTCCCAGCGCTTTTCCCCCCACCTCCTCTCTCCTCAGGTGCGGCTGCAGGAGGCGCCCGGCTGCTTCCGCCTGGACGCGCCCTTCTGTGCAGCCGTGCGCATCCCGCGGGAGCGCCTGTGCCGCGCCTCGCCCTTCGCGGCACACCGCGCCAGCCTCAGCCCCACGTCGGCCTCGTCCCCCTGGGCGCTCCTGGGCCCCAGCCTGGGCCAGGGCGACAGCGCCACGGCCTCCTGCAGCCCGACGCCCAGCTCAGGCTCCGAGGGTCCGGGTCAAGCGGACAGCGGCCGGGGCTCTGACACCGAGGCCTCGGAAGCGGCGGACGGGCCGGCCGGCGCGGACCTGCGGGGTCGCAGCTGGGCCACGGCCGTGGCGCTCGCGTGGCTGGAGCATCGCTGTGCGGCCGCCTTCGGTGAGTGGGAACTGACAGCGGCCAAGGCTGACTGCTGGCTGCACGCACAGCACCTGCCAGACGGCCTCGATGTGGCCGCACTCAAGGCCGCCGCCCGCGGGCTCTTCCTGCTGCTGCGCCACTGGGACCAGAACCTCCAGCTCCACCTGCTGTGCTACAGCCCTGCCAATGTGTGAGGCCCTGCGGTGGCCCCAACACTCAGTCACTGCCGCCCAGGGTCGGCCTCCCACTACTGGGAACAGGTGGGCTGGTGCCAGTCCACCCTCTACTGCTTCTCACTTCTCCCTCAATGCCCCAGCCTGAAAAGTGCCTGCTGTGCTCTCTCCCTCCTCTCCCCCCCTCCCCGTGTGCTGAGTTCCTGCTGCACTGGAAGGGGAGAGCCACAGCGCCCAGCCCTATGCAATAAAGTGCCTCTTATGATTGCTGGAGCGAGCCTTTATCATTTTGTTTCCACAGCCCTGGAGGGTGAACCCTGTCTTTGCACTGAGCTACGGCCCCAGCCCGTTTTATTTTGCTGCAGGGCCTCATTAAGTGACCCAGAGAGGGCTTAAACTCATGAGCCTTCTGCCTGATCTTCCCAGTGCTGAGTGCTTTTTCTGCTGGGTCTATGTCCTGAAGTTTTGCCAGGAGCCAGCTGTCCCCAACTCCACGTAGCAGCACAGAGGTGAATGTGGCCAGGTTTATTCAGAAGGGCAGAGTCTAGTCCCTGTCCCAAGTGGACTGGAGGGTAGGCCCAGGCCTCAGTGGGCCTTCCTTCGGTGACGAACACTCTTGGGGAAAGGCTGAGGGCCCAGCCACAGCTGCAGCAGGATAACAGCATGGCACACGTGCAGGGCGGCTGAGCTGCAGGACGTGGATGGATAGGTGTTCCAGGAGAGCTCAATGAGCCCAAGCACCAGCAACCTGGAGTTGGGAGATGGCTGCACTCAGCGCTGTCCGGGCCACAGCCCTTTGGCTCGTCACGCCCTAGACATGCCCTCCCCGCCCGCCATCCCCACAGCCAGGCTGTCCTACCTACCTGAGCAGGTGTGTGAGCCAGCCTGCAGGCGTGGCCCACAGGAGGTAGGGAAGTGTGTGGAAGTACCAGACATAGAACTGGTAGTGCAGGGAGCGGCTGAAGCAGATGCCAATGAAGTTGGAGGTGAAAAGTGTAGAAACGATCTGTAGGTGGTGATCAAGGCCAAAGGCAGCAACCAGGGCAGGAGCTGGGGGCCAGAGAGCCCCTGGCATGGCCCTTCCTACATGCCTGCTCTGGACCCTAAGCCGGTGAGTTCGAATCCCTCTCACTAGCTGTGCGACACTGGTCCCTCATTTAACCTTTTCAACCTCAATTTTTGTCATCTATAAAATGAGGGTAAGAGCACCTCCTATCTCAGGATCTCTCATAAGCTTCAAATGTTAGAATGAACAGAAATCTAAGGCTACAGTGTGAAAGCTCACATGACAGCTCAGTTATTTACACTGCTCTGCACAGACACAGGTATGTATGCACTCACCGAGACAGTCTCACTGTGTAGCCCAAGTTGGCCTGGATCTTGCTTTCCAGCTCAACTCTCTATTTTGTCTTAGCCTCCTGAGGGTTGGGATTAAAGACACTGTCCGAACAGCTGGCTACACAGCTCGGCATTTAGAATTCACAGTAAAACATGCTGCAGTATAAAGTGCTCGGCACAGTGCTGCGGAAGAGCTCTATGGAGGGGCTCTCCTGCCCACCCCTAGGTCACCGGGCACTGGAGGCTAATATAACTGGACACTCGGAGAGGTCAGGACTTACTGTTCCACAAAGTAAAGGATATGATTGGGCGTGAGAGGCTGGGGTGGGACCTTCCTTTTGGAGGGATCCTTCAGCAGTGACAGGATACTCTCTCCGGTCCTAGGGAGAAGCAATTCAGACATTTATTGCCCCTCCCCACCAGCCACTCTAGACTCATCCTAGTGCTTAATATCTCTTCCAGGCAGCCGCTAGGCCTGGGCTCTTTATTACTCGCCCAACTCTGCCCAGGATGCTGCCCCCCTTCTTACCTGTGCCACCTGCAGAGAGCAAACAGTGCAAGCAGGCTGAGGTGGGCAGCCAGCAGGGCCAGGTGGAAGGCGCGGTGCAAGAAGAGCGCCTCTGGGAGGAAGCGCCAGTTCACTGTCCACCGGAAGAGAAACTGGCGGCCAAGGTCAAAGGAGCGAGACAGGTAGCCCACGGGGTTCTCCAGGAGGAAGGGCAGACCCAGCACCAACTGAGGGTGGGGGTTATGTCAGCAGGGCTGCCAAGGGGCACCCTGGCCTCATGCCAATCACCAAGGGGAGCAGGATTAAGATGGGACCTTCAAGGAGTCCCCGATTCCTCCCAGGAAGAGTGGGAAGCCACCTTATACCAGAGCCCACCCCAAGAAGCGGAGGAGGAAGGTAGTAGGAGGCTCTGAGGTCGGGTTTACTGAGTCATCAACAGCTCCACCTTAGAGTGGAGACATGGAAGCCAAAGCAGACATGGCGGCCGTCAGCTTGGAGTCAACTCCAAAACCCTCTTGGCTTTGAGGAAGTCTCAAGGACGGAAGGGGGCCAGATGGGTGGCCTCTCCTTTGTGAGGAGGGAGAAGGGCAAAGAAGGGTACCTGAAGGACAGCACAGATGCCCAGCTTGGGGAGGGCACCATGGAAGCCAAACTGTGTAAGGAGCAGGAAGAGTAACCCGGGGGCAAAGAGCAGCACGTTCATCTTCACAGAGACCGCCAGGCTGCAGGCAGCACGGGGAGGAGAGACAGAGGTGAGCCCCTAGGCCGGGTCCCTTGCCCAAAGCTCTACCCACCATCACTATAGGAAGTCCTCCCCCATGCCACCAGGCAAGCACCACTCAGAGCTGCTGGGGAAGGCAAGGCAGCCTGGGAAGAGCCTGGGGAGGGCAAGGCAGCCTGGGAGGATGTGAGGGAGGGGAGACACCTAGCCTCTGAGCACTGACAGGGTGCACACACTGAGCATCATGTATGCAGTGCACAAAGGCTGGCTCCAGCAATGGCTACTGCCCAGGGGGAGGAGAACAGGAAGACAGTGTGCTGGGATGGGCGTAAAACGGGGACTTTCTACATATCTGGACTTGGCTTATGGGGGCCACTCCCTTACTCTCTCTGCTGCAAATGGGAAGAGAAGGGGCCAGAAGGGAGGAGTTGTTGACCTGAAAAAGAGGCAGCCCCAGCCCCAGCGCTGGGCCAGGAAGAGGTTGATGCTGAGGAAGAGTAGAGCCATGGCCACAGGATCATTGAAGAGCCGCAGCACAAAGATGGAGTGGACGCGGTAGGAGGCGCAGCACATGAAGAAAAAGACGAAGGGCGGTACCTAGGGGCAGGCACAGTGGGGAGCAAGGTCAGCTGCCCAAACCTGAGCCACTGCCACCACCCACCTTGCAGGATGGAGGCCTCTAGTCCTCGTAGCATGAACTCACCTTGCAGGTCTGATGGTAGATCAGGAAAACAAGCAGCAGCGTGGCCAGGTAGAGCACAGCGAAGATGTGCTGGGCCATGCGGATGTTGGTGCCCTGGCCAGTGGCGTAGTACAGCCCCATAAAGATGTACACAAAGCCAGCTGGGTAGCTGGAAGATGACAGGGAATGTGAGTCGTGGGCAGGCCAAGTAGCCTGGTACCCAGCCAGCCCTCCATATCCTCCGGTAGCCTCCTACCCCTACTCACACAAGCGGTCCAGTGTCACCCTGAAGTTGGGTATAGTCATATGTGCCATTAATGACGCCTTCCACCTGGGTCATGTACGCCTTCCAGTCAATCTCTGTGTCTGGAAAAAGAGAATCTGATTACTTTTCAGTCCAGAACCTGCCTGCCCTCATACCCGTTCCCCAGAACACAGAAGCACAGTTTCGGCCCATACCCAGGCCTGTTTCCACCCTTGTCTAACTGCTTGAATCCCTTGAGAAACCCAGGTACCTTGTTTTTGATACCAGTGATTGAATTCAGGACTTTGTGCTTGCCAAGCAGGCACTCATGCCGCTGAGCTGTATCCCTGGCCCTACCCAGGTATCCTAAACCCAGGCTGTCTGTAACTCAACTCACCCTCTTTCCTCCTACTCCCAGCCTGCTGCCCCTCCTGGCTTCTACACAAATCTAAGCAACATCTTTGCGATACCCTTTTTCTCCTTTCCCACCCTTAGTAAGTGTCGCCTAGTCATCCTAAATACCTCTACTAGCTCCTCCTTCTCTGCTAAATTCTATATATTCCATATTGGGTATAACATAATCTGTAGCCTGAACTTTACAGCATTCTCCTAATTAGGGTTCTGGCTTCCATTTTCATTCTACTACAATGTATTTCTACTTTCTCTTCTTGTACGAGTTTCCTACATTGCCAGGTTTCTCACCTTGAAATCCTTCAATGATTTCCTAAAAGATAAAGATCAATGTCTAGCACACCCATTTTTTTTTTTTTGTTTGTTTGTTTGTTTTGTTTTGTTTTGTTTTTCTGGTGGTACCAGGGATCAAACTCAGGACCTTGTGCTTGCCAGGCAAGCGCTTATTCTACTGAGCTATCTCCCTGGCCCCCTTTTCTTTCTTTTAAAAATTTATTTTTGTCTATTTAAGATAGGTTTTCCCTTTCCAGTTCAGACTGGCCTTGAGCTCCCTTTGTAGCCCAGGCTGGTCTCAAACTCCCAACAATCCTCTTGCCTCAGCCTCCCAAGAGCTGGGATTACTGGTGGGCACCAATACACTCGGCCCTCAAAACTGTTTTATATTTCTTACATTTTTGTCTTTTTTTTGGGGGAAAACAAACTGAGGACCTTGCACTTGCCAGGTAGGTGCTTGTACGGGTGAGCTATATTCCCAGTCCTTCTTTTCTTTCTTTCTTTTTTTTTTTTTTCATCATTTTTGAGACAGGATCTTGCTATGTAGCTCAGGGTGGCCTCAAACTCATAGCAATCCTCCTGACTCAGCCTCCCCAGGATTACAGGCACGCACCACTAGGCCTGGTTTCCCTTTTTTCTTTCCTCACTTGGCTAGTTCATACCCACTCTCTAAGGGCACACTATGAAACTTCTCCTGATTCCCCAGGTCTGCACCGCCTATGTTCATCCTGTCTCTCCATTTTCATGATGGCTATGATGCACTGGAGGTGCCTGCTACTTTATCTTTGTTCAGGCCACACTCATCTCTTCTACCACCTGTGGTACCTAGCACAGTAGCCATATAATACGCACTCAATAAATATGTGCTGAATGACTCTTCTTTAGCAAGGAAGCCAGTGCTGTAAACCCAGTTAGATCTGGCCTGAAAGGAGCCACCGATAATACCTAACCGACTCAAATGCGCACAAATGCCACCATTGTGAAGGAACGTTCAAGACCTCAGAATCAAATGGGTGAAAAAATTGAGATCTGGGAGGGGAAGTGGTATGTCCAAAGGCGCAAACAAGCAGGTGCATCAGTACATTAACTCTAGCCCAGAACTGACTTCCACGCTAGTTTGTTCTCTTAGCCTGGCAGGCCGAACGTTCAAGGCAGAATGCCAAACTCCAAGATCACCCCCTTCCTTATAGGGGCGGATTAAGATCGCATTTTCTGCGGCACAGGCTGGGGCTCCAGTAAGGAACATACATCTAAAAATGATGAACGAGGGTATTTGAAGTCTAGTTTTAAGTTCCGAGTCCCGGTCCCAGTTTGGATCAGGGGTCTGATCTCCCTCCTTCCCCCTCCTCTCCCGTTCGGCGCACTCACATGCCACCCTGTGAATGACCCAGAAGGTGATGCCCACCTCCGCCAGGCAGAGGCAGGAGGCCACTAGGAGCGTGTAACGAGGCTCCCGCAGAAGTAGGCGCCGCTCTTGCCAGGCACGCTGTAGCCAGTGTCTGCAGAATCCTCCCGGCTGGGCCGCGGAACCCTCCCGGCCGCGTTTCCGCAGCCCAGCCGCCATCTTGACAGTGCGCCGCTCAAGTTGGCCCGCCACTCCGGAAACTCAACCTTTGAACACTTAGGTTCCGCACTTTGTGGGGAAGGTCCCACGAAACAAAGCGCTGCTGGTGAGGAGCTAAAATCAGCGCTGACTCCACTGAAATTATTTCTTCTACATCTCTCTCCTCCAGCGGATTACCCACTCCGTAAGAGCAAGAGCAAAGCTTTACTCAATATATACCCAGCTGGGCACAGGCGCTAATAGTGGATGAACGTCCGCGCAGAAAAGCAATAGTCCTGCCTCCTGTAATTCCAGGGCCATTTCCATTTCATCAGTGCTGGAAAAATTCCAGTTTGTGGCTGGAAGGCAAAGCCCTCATCTGCGCCCCTCCCACCTCCTTTCACAGCCTTGCTGGAGGTCAGAAACGGTTTGCTTAGAAGTAACTCATGGGTTAATCTCCAGGCAAAACCGTTCAAAATGAAATACGAGAGGTCACAGTGATGAATCCGAGTGAGTCTCCCACCAAGTGGGGCTCTCCTAGGTAACCGGACAGCTAGGGGCTTCAGAATCCAATTCGGCTTTCCAGCCGGAGGATTGTGCAAAGAGCGCAGAGCAGAAAACGGAAGTTCCACGTGTTTGTGTTGAGCAACTGCGGGAGGTGGGCGGAGCTCCGAGAGTCCCGCCCCCCGCGCTCGCCATTGGCTGCCGGGCGGGGCTCGCTGCTTCTGCTGCGAGCATGGCCTCTCCCCGGGCCCCCGCGCTGTCTCCCGAGTTGCCTAAGCGGAACTTCGAGTACCGCGAGGTTCAGTACTGGGACCAGCGCTACCGAAGCGCGGCTGACTCTGCCCACTACGAGTGGTTCGGGAACTTTTCCTCCTTCCGTGCCCTCCTGGAGCCGGAGCTGCGGCCGGAGGACCGTATCCTCGTGCTAGGTGGGTAGCCCGGCGCTGCCCAGCCCGCGCCTTCTTCCAGTCTGCCTGCCCTCGTCGGGGACGCCCGCCCCAGGCTCAGCGCCTTCAGATCCAGCCGTGTTAGCCAGGGCAAGCAGGAGGAAGACCGTCCCCGAGAGCCGAGCGTGGGGTGCCCGAGGACCCTGCCCCACACTCAGGGGAAGTGGCCTCGGACCCGCAGAACTCGGCGCCGGCCGAGTTGGAGTCTCAGCGCTAACTGACAGGCCGAGAATCGTGGTGAGCTTTTCACTTGCAGAAACGGGACTGCAGGCCACTCGAGCTCATCGCCCACCGCTTCTGGGTTCACGCCAGTGGGCGCCCGGTGCCGCTGTCACCTCGCACTCTCGGAGCTCTGGACTGAAACTTAGCTCTACACCGCGAGCGAAGTGAGGGAACAGCGCCCCCTGAGGTCGGAGGGGAGTTGCAGCGGAGGTTGGGGTGATTTTGAAGGAACGAAGCGCTAAGGAGATGGGCTAAGGTCCTGCTGGTCACCCGGGTTTTCTTCCCACTGTCGGCCTTGGAGGCGCTTAGTAAAGTCTGAGTGAGCAGCGGGTTTCTTTCCAGTTATAGGTTTTAGTTGCTCTGTATAAAACCATATATGTATATATTTTGTTTTTATTTTGGGAGACGAGCTTGCTGTGTAGTTCAGGCTGGTGTTGAATTCACTAGGCGACCCAGGCTGGCCTTGAAACTCAGGTGCTCCTCCTGCCTCAGCCTCCTGAGTGCTGGGATTACAGGCATGTAACACCACCCCCAGTTCTAAATATTATATGTATATTATTTTATTATGTACTTGGTACAGGGTCTCTCAACGCAGATCGGACTCGTAGTGATTCTCCAGTTTTCAACTTCCCAAGCGCTGGGATTACAGGCACGCGCCACCACGCCCAGTGTCAATAGCTTTTCTCAGCTTGCACCGCGGGCAGGGCCGGCACAGTATGCTGGGGATCGAACCTGGCTGCTGCTGCACTCTGCCTAAGCAGGTGCTTTAATCCGCTGAGCTATCTGGTCAGCCCTAAAACATTATATGCTAAATGAAATATTTGATATATATAAAAGGAACTTCATATATTCAGTTTGTGAAATAGAACATTACGAGAATTAGAAAGGCATAACCTAGTGGTTAAGAACTTGGACTCTGGAAGCAGCTGATTATGTTGGATTCTTGGCTCAGCTGTTGCTGGCTCTGTAATCTTGCACATAATACTTAAATTTCTGTGCTCTATTTTCCTTGCAAAAAAAAAAAAAAAGAAAGAAAGAATACTTGCTAAGTGTGGTGGTGTATCCCTGATTCCAGATCCTCAAGAGGCCAAGGTAGAGGGGCCGGGGAGATGGCTCAGTGGAATAAACGCTTCCCTGGCAAGAGAGTTCCAGGCAAGCTTGAGCCATTTAGGAGACCCTACTTCAAAATAAAAATAAAGAAGGCTGGAGCTGTAGCTAAGTGGTGGAATGCTTGCCTAGCGTGTGTGAGGCCTGGGGTTCACTCTATAGCACCTCAGAACAAACAAAAAAACTTAAGTATCAGATTTTTAAGAAGACTGGTTGCCTATGAATCTTCAGAACAACTGTGGCAAACCCCTTCCCAGGTAAACAGTTGCTTGAGGTTGGGTTTTTTTTTTGTTTTGTTTTGTTTTGTTTTTTTTGGTGGAACCGGGGATTAAACTCAGGCCCTTGTGCTTGCCAAGCAAGCGCTTATTCTACTGAGCTATCTCCCCAGCCCCATTGCTTGAGGTTTTTTGTTTTTTATTTTAAGTTTTTGTTGTTGTTGTTGTTTTAATGTATTTGGTACAGGGTCTCACTACACAGCTCCAACTCGTAGTGATCCACTTGTAGTGATCCTCTTGTTTTAAGCCTCCCCAGGGCTGGGATTACAGGTGTGTGCCACCTTGCCCTGGACTCATTCCCTGGCTCAGCATGCCCCACGGGCGGGGTTGGCACAGCATGTGGGACCCAGGATCAAACCCTGGTTCCTTCAATTGCCAAAGC